ACCTACATATATTTATTGAGATAATAAGCAGGGGCATATTTGAGGGGGCCATGAGGCCCGTGCTTCATTCCCCGTATTTTATATTTTTTTTTATTGAGATTATTAGTCGGGTGACTAGCGATCCTTTTTATCTGATGACCTTTTTTTTTGCTTTCTATGCCTCTGGCCCGCTTGATTTTTTTCTTTTTGGTTGTATATTTGGAAAAATTTTAAACAGTGTGAGTCCCCCCCTTCTCAAATATAATTCTGGATACGCCACAGATAATAAGTACAGATTGTATACACCTTAATAATGAAAAAATTAAATATTGTATATTAATTATGAATTTGTCGATACCAATATGTATATCGATACAGTAGTCAGTAACATGATAATATTTTAAAAAATAAATTTATAAATTAAAAAAAAAAAGAATTTAATTTTTAATGACTTAAAAATTGTTCATATTCTTTAAAAGTATAAATTTCTTTCATGATTACGTTTTACTTGAAAAATGTGAGCAAGTTTACATGTCATTCACAAATTATATAATGTGAACGTAATGAAAATTACCTAACACTGTTAAAATATAGCTTGAGATCAAACTTTTATTCGAAATAATATTGTATGTCGTGTTATTTATTTTTACATATTGTGAGTATCCGAAAATAACAATATTATTATAAATTATAACACAATACATGTATTTAGAAATTTAAATTCATCATAATACAATAATAATAATAATGTAATATATTATTATGGATAACAGTCCACATAATAAACATATGATTAATTATTTACATTTTTTGTTTATTATTTAATATGTTTTAGTAGTTTTATGAAATAAAATAGTCATACCAACGATATATAAATAATTTATTATAAATTCTTCATGAGAAATATTAAAATTAATTATTCCGCAGTCGGTAGGATTCGAACCTACGCTCCCAGAGGGAATCTGATTTCTAGTCAGACGCCTTAACCGCTCGGCCACAACTGCTTGTTCAATATCAATGAAAGTAAATACATCTAGATTCATTGAGTCGATATAACCATAATTTCATTTATTAAAAATAAAAAATCCTGTATTATTTATGATATAAATTAAAAAACACATTTTCATCTATTATATACGTAGATGAAATTATATAATTATGTATTATCTATTTTTACATATTAATAGTATATCTACACTCTATAGAATAGATAAATAGATTTAATTTATTTAATGTATTTTGTGGTATCTCTATTAATTGTATATAAATTGTTTTTCTTTTAGTATAAACATTACATTACTTATTTTGGGTACTTTAAAAAATAAAATTTTAACTAATAAGTATAAACATTTATTTTATTGTTATTTATACATTAATAAAATTGTTATGATCAATGAAGTCAATTTTCAAACTATTTCATTATTGTCTGTATGCCTGTATAGAATATGGACTAGGTACCTACATTGTAATATTTCTACGAGTTACGAGTTCAATATTTAAAGAAATGTATTTTAAGAGTTATATGCTGATGCCAAGTGCTGAATAAAAGATGGTCTTTCATTTTTGACAAGAATCCAATTTTTTGTAATAAAACTTTGGTTTTTGCGATAAATATTTTTTTTCTACGGGGATAATAATATCTCTATACCTAAATATTTAGATGGATATAAATTTAAAATTAAATTTTTTTGAACGTAAAGTAGGTAAATTGTATTTTTGTATTTAGTAAGGAACTTTATTACGTTCAACTTTCTTTGTAATACAAAATTAATAATACCTTTTTGATTAACCTTTTACAAAAACAACAAGCTTTTAAAAATTCAGAAGACAATCCTTTGTTGGAGCGTTACGATAATATTTTTTTATAACTTAAGGTGTAATTTTAAAAGAAATTACTTTTTGATCAATTTAGATATATTTTATATGGCGATTACGCGATTAGTTACTTGGTACCCATTAAAAACAAATAAATCAGTGATAATAAAATAAACAACGTTTCATTATACTTAATTATCATATAAACATTGATCGATTAATTATTACTTATTATAATTTGTAATCGTCGCAATTATATTATCATAGTATCTATTATATTGTATTATCATACTTTCTTTTTTTTTTTTATGTGAAAATATATTTATAGTTACAAGTATCTATATTTATTTTCTTATAGCTAAACAATTATTATAAGAGTTACATTTTTTTATTACTTACGTTGCATTTTTTATCTATGTTTTTTTTATAATATTGATTTATTAATAATTTGGTTAATTTTAAATAAAAAATAATAATTTATTAGGTAATACACAATATCTATCATAATATGTAGGTTCATTTTTACTCAGTAAATACCTAAATCATAAACTATTAAATTTATATTACGTATAATATGATATAAACATGACCAACTGGTTTCAATGTCCACATTTGGATGTGATGTCATTAATGTGGTTTGTCGAGGTCAAGTACTCGGTATATTCATTTCACATACTGCGTCATTGTTTAATATTATGATACTATACGATACATGCATTTAAAATGTATACTTTGCGTTTCAAAGGTGTTATATTATTGCCGTATACTGCTTACATTTACGCATTTTCTTTTGAATAAATAAATAATTGTATTCGTGATTTTTGGCGGATTTCATCTAATAATACAAATTCTTTATTGTTAGTATTAAGGACCACATTTATTTAAATATTAATTTTACTATTGACGTAAACGTGGAGGACTAAAGATCAGAAGGTTTGAGAATAAACAAATAGCTAAAAAAATATTATCACAAAACATAATGTGGTAATAATTAATAAAAGTAACTAATAATAAAAATTATTGAAAATGTAGTTTTTATTTACAATAATGACTATATTTTGTATACATCTGATAAAATCCGAATTATCTAAGTTAGATGTATTATGTATACACTAAGGGTAAAAATAGTGTATTGATACATATTTGAATGTATTGAGATTTAGAACCTTTACACATACTCTATATATTCGATATATCTATTACCTTATTCTTTTATTGGTCGATCATCCATCTTAAACTAAATTATTTTAAACTCTTTAAAGATATTCTAAGTATAGAACTTATGACTTACTTATGGTACATCTTCGTTTTTATGTCTTTTAAAATAATAATAATAATAAAAAAAAAAAATCGCTTCATTTAAAATTTTAATATACTATAATTTTAGTTTAAAAAAATCAATTCTACAAATAAACAAAATAAATTTAACCACTATGAAATTTTTTTATATCCTCAGTTTAAATCAAGCAACATTATTTACCTAAATTTACTATAAATAATTATCATTCTGGATTAAGTTTAAGAAAATTATCCGTTAATTATGTATTTAAATATAAAAAATTATGTTTACCTTCAATTAAATCGTAAAATCCAGAAGTGTATTTTTAACTTTAAAATAGTGTTTAAGTATAGAACTTTATTAATTTGATAATCACAATTTGATATTCGGAATTAATTTGTTTATGGTTATCTTTGGTGTTAACTTTAAAAAATTTGATACTGGAATCAAATTTGACGTTTATTTTTTTGGCGATCTTCCAAAAACTGTACAATGTGTAACCAACTCAAAAATGGTAGTATGACATCAAATTCACAAGTTTGAAATACGCATTATTTTAAATTATACCATTTATACCTTATTACTTATAAGTTATTATATAGATTCTATCATATAAATCGATGGAGGATAAACAATCATATAATATACTATTTTACATTGTACAATGTAGAATAATATTAAACATAATACATTTTATTAACAATGATTTCATCGTCCTTCCATTAACTTTAATATTTATTAACCCATGTGCTTTTCAACTGCGTGCGATACCTAGCTAATATATTCGTAGATTATATTTATGATTGTCACGAAATACAATAATACCCTATGTTCAATAAAAGTTAATTTATGTTTTTATTATTGCTTAATTTTGTTCAATTACTATCATCTTTATCAATAATTTAAAAAATTATATTCTTAATAAACTTTAGTATTAAAAAAGGAATAAAACATTAATATAATTATTAAATGTAATATGTAATTTAAAAACATTTGTTACAAGTATTAAAAAATCTAAAAAAATAAAAAATTGTGTATGAATTCACGTATATATTAAATTTAAATCGATTTTCACGTATCTATCTTTTAAAAATAATCCAAATATATTTTCACTTTTAAGTCAATTAAAAATATTATTTTCTTAATGAATTTTTTTAAATTTTATTTTAAATGAAAATAAAATGCTTGTGTACAACTCTATGTATATATATATATATATACATATATCATAATATGTATTCAATTATTCCAGAACTATTAAATTACAAACACCAGGTCCTATCTTTGAAGTTAGTGCTGCTTATAATTAATATTAAGAGTATAAAGGTTAATATTACTTGAATTAACTTATAAAATTTGATACTTTTATACTTATATTTGTTTGTATGCTCTTTTCTATAGTAAATTTAGTATTGGAATATTAAGAAGTTTAAAATAAATAATATCTTATTTATAAATATTTAATGAAAAATAGAATTCAAATAAATTTTGTAAAATAATTTTTTTATCCGGATAGGAAAGAAGAAAATTATAAATATATTACTTTTATTGACTATATATTGACTGTATAATTAACAATTAATGACATTAATGATTATTATAATTTGTATACATTTAATTTGGAAGAAATGAATTAAATGAAAAAAATAAAATAAATACACACATTATTGTAAAAAAAAAAATACATTGATCCCAACGCTCAAAATTTTAAAATGCAGAAAATTATGTTTAATGCATTATTATAGCTTATAAATAATTAGATTTGTTTTCTTTTTGATATAAGTATTCTTGTGAATAAGTTTTAATGTTTTCATTATCATGTATTAAATTTCTGTTTTTATTGTATAATGATATTTTTTAGTACCTACTTTTAATGATTTATATCAATTACGTTCAAATAACATCTTATTAATTGCATTTTTTGTAGATTGTGCAGCGATGCCGTCGTCACCATTGTAAACGATGGTCTAGCTCAATGTCTACAGTGTATTCGGTTGATGATAATGGAGGAAAACAAATATTAAAACCTTCATATGAAAAGTCAGGTAAAATAAAGAAATACCGTTAAAAATTATTATTTATCATGCGTTATCAAATATATGCAAATTATTAATACCATTTAAGTACAATATTTTTCACTTTATTTGGTAATTTGTTTATAAATTGAACATTAAAACACACACATATAATTGTGAAATCAATACATTCACCTCTCCGCTTAGTATAAAAAGAACACGATTACTTGACCTGTATGTAGTATATCTATGCAATATAGATGCTGTACGATGCACCCAATGTAGTATTTAAAATTTATCATGTATCTCAAGGTACGTTTTTTGTATAGGAAAAATATTTCTATTTCTCCATTGTTTTAGTTTTTACCATCCATTTTTGCTTCCTATAGTCCTGTAACTGAAATAAACAAATATACAATAGTTAGTATTCTATGTCTTTAAAACATACACTTATTAAGTAAAAACCAACTCAATGTTACAAATTGGAATAAGTTATGAGTAACCGATAAAATTGTCGTTTAACGAATAAGTGCTAACAAAAATTGTTGTTATAGAATGGGAAAAAAAAATGAATGCTTATTACTAATTAATTGATATAAAATTGTAAAATTTCTGTATTTTATTTTAGAAATTTTTATTGTGTCACGTAGAATAGATTTGTATATTGTTAGATATTTGTGGACTGTATAATAAAATTATTACGCTGAATATAAAATAACTTTCAAATATATGTTTTATTGTATTAATTGACAATAATTTTGCGGCGAGTGTCAGCTTGTTTCACTGCACCGTAACGATCGGTGGAAAACGACGAACTGACTTACATACGATATCGCGATTGCGTAGCGACGTTACCACAATCAAGTCTTATCTATGATTTATCCCAAACATATATTATGTTTATACATTCTATATAGACTTCAGATCAACCAGGATTTTCGGCAATTTTATACCTAGATTGACTAGATTTATGTCCATTATCCAGTGTTCAACAAACAAAAATAGTATACGAGTATAAATCCTTATATATTATATAAAGTGTACCTATATAACATTTATATAGTTTCGCATTATTTTTATTGTTTGATGAAAAGAATACTTAAATTATTCTAAAATATTTTTTATGACCTAAAGATTTTGTATATAAAATTTTATTCATCATATTTTTTCTAGTTTTGGGAAATATAAGGATTTTTTAAATGTATGTAGTTATAAGTATTAAAGAGCTCTTTTTTAAAACTGAACTAGTTACATAATATTACATGATATTATATTTTAACACAAAATAAACTCGTAAAAATGTATTGTCCCCAATGTTTTACCCGAGGAGGAGGCAATTTCTAACTTTGATTTCTCCCTAAATATGGGTCTGGATTTACTTATGATTAAGATTTAGTTTTGAATATCATTAAAATGAAACATAGTGTTATTCTAAATTAGAAAAAATGTTCAAAGAAAATAAGATAATATATTTGTATTAATTAAAATAATAAATATTTTATTCCAGCACATTTAAATAATTTCATATCTACTTAAAGATTTTAAAACAAGTTTGTTGAATGTTTTAACGTTTAAGTATTTTTTGATTATAAATTATTATGTATCAAAGTATAAAAAAAATTGTTTTTATGTTATAAATAATGTATCTTTTTTATCTACATTTATATTTAATCATTTGTTTAAAACGTGTAGGCATTCATGTTATTCACAATACTTAAATAATTGATTATAATAAAAATTAATACTTAGGTATGATGTTTTATTTTTTAGTTAATTAAGTGAAAATTTATCGAAAAGTTAAATAAATAAAAATGTTGAACTTAAGGCTTTTTTTTAAAACTAATTTAAAATTAATTTTAAGTAAAATGCTTTTATATTAATTTGTATATAACATTTGATACCTAGTTCATTGTTATTTGTTACTCTTTAAATATAATGGTAGAAAAAACGTTTAATATAGTTGATAAGTTGCACATTGTTTTATTGCATAAATAATATATATGATTATCGTATTATATCGTTAATAATTAATTAGATTATTCACTTTATAACTTAATAAAGCGTTTTTAAATATTATTTAAGTTTGAAAAACATCGTAACCATTAATTTTTTGAAAGACTTTACCTAAACTATAACAATCGGATTTTCTTTGAAGTCCATTTCAACTTATGTTGATTGAATTAGTATATAAATAATAAATATTTATATTCCCATCATGTAGTTAATTTTTTCTTTACTCCATTGAGTTGGTAATACTTTTAATATTTTAGATTCTGAGTAAAAGATTACTATTCCAATTGAATTTTTAATTATCATGTGTATTTTTTGTATGTATTTATGTATATATATTGTATACATGCGGATTTATAGTGAGAAAATGATTTAATCTTCAAATTTAAGGATGATTTCTAATGGAAAATTGAATTTGATTAGTAATTTTGGGTAGCCTAAATTTAAAATTCTCAGTATTTTTTGAAATAATCGGAAAAAAACAAAATACTAATTTAGGAGGATTATAAATTTTTACGTAAACTATTTTTCGACTGAATCAACTTTCTTATTTTACTGTAATTTAACAATAAATAATTGTAGATATTTAAAATGTTTATCAAATGTTTATATTAAAATTTTCTTAAGTGAATATTTTTAATGTTTTCACTGAATATATGACTGACAAACAAAATACGTATTTTAAAATTATCAGGTATCTAATATATTTTTAAATTCGTGTTTGACTTATTTTTAGACTTTTTGGGTTATAATAAAATGCTTATATTATTTTGAGCATGATATGATCTTTGAATAAGTAGTAGAATTATCTCAAAAGTCAAATTACTAATTATTATTTTTTTTTAGCATTTTTAGCATTTTTCCACTCAATAAAATTATAACAAAAAAAAAAAAAAAACTATAAATAAAAAATATATTATTATGAATGTAATATATTTATGTACTTTTTTATTACCTTCCCTTAGAACTGAAAATGTATTGTAAAAATTATCTGGTTTATATGCAAAACAGATTTTGTTCTAAATTATTTTCTCTTGAATGTGATTTTTTTATATTATTCTATTTATAAAGTTTTGTTATATTTAGATTTTACACTATGATTGCATTAAATATGAGAACTATTAAATCGTTCCTTTTTAAAAACTTTGATGTTAAACTTGACAATTATACAAATATAACTCTAATCCAAAGTTGCAAAGATAATGTTTAGAAGTACATACAATCTAAAAATATATTTCATCGTAAGCATGCATGTAGTTAATAGTTATTTAAAGTTCAAACGCAGGTTCATACTTGCATGTTACCATTATAAATATGATAAAAGTAAAATATAAGTATCTTAGTTGTTTATTATTTATTATTATAAATAAAATTATTTAATTAAAGATTTGCATATGACTTATATTAAATATATAAATATTAATTACAATATTTGAGTGTTAAAAAAATATGTAGGTGAAATATGGTTTGTTAGACATACATTTTGGAATATATCTATAGTGTATACTTACAATAATATATTTATAAAAACATATAAAATTGTATACTTTTATAGGTATATTGATTTATTTACTACTAACAGAACCCAAAATGCAAATTTGTAACAATTGATGGATTTTATAATTTTTGTGCTTAAGTTATTAGGGTTAATTTTATAACTAATAATAATGAATTAAATTAGTTAAATGGTTACCTAAATATAGATTTTGTATAACTGTTAGGCGTATTATAGCTTTTAGCATGTAAAATATTTAAATATATAATAATTTTTCCTAGAACTGTTTTTATTGTTTTGTGTAGTTAAAAATTAAAATATTTTTTTTCTAATTATTAAAAAATATTCAATTTTTTCTAATTTGGTAGTTTAAAATGAAGTTAACTATTTTTTAATTGATTTTTATTTCAAATAAATATTTTTTTATATTATTCTAGATTAAAATTTTTATTTTTTAGACTAAAATGTAGAAATACACAATGCTTACAATTATTGTAAATATAAAAAAGAGGGCGTATAAAGTAACCACTTTGCTGTACATAAGTTTTTGAGTAGGTCACTGTAATGTATATTAATTTTATTATTTTTAATATAATGATAAAATAATACAAAAAACAACTGAGAATTATGGCTGTTAGTCTATATTACTAAGTATTATATCTTATAATTTATTTAAATTGCTATTGTAGTAATTAGTTCTACTATTTGTAAAACTTTAAATAGCATTAATTTTTGCTAAAAATATTGCAATTATAATATGATTAATATTTAAAATTTATATAACTTGTTATTGTTATTAACCTTAAAGTATATCTAACCTTCCGATTATTTTTAAAAATATTGGAAATTTTTCATTTTTCTCTACCAAAAATACTAACTAAATTCACTTTCTTACTAAAAATATATTGAAATTGAAAATCAAAGAATTGTTTCCATTAAATAACTTGTACATAGACATATAAATAATAAAATACACATTATTGTAAAATGAATACATCTATCATCCACTCTGAATCTAAAACAATGGTACCCAATTTCTTCTTTTCTACGCCCCTTTTTGTAGATTTTCAAAAATCTCGCGCCTCCCTCCTATAAATTGAAAAAATCGATTATCTTTTTTTGATATATTTTACAAACAAACTATACAGTGTTCGAATGGCTATTTTTTTTTATAATAATTTATCGGTTATCCGTTATTAATACCCAATAATGGATAAAAGGAACCGGTTAATTAATTTGTTTCTTTACGTTTTAAAATAAAAATTGTTTCGTGGTGAACCTGGGCGCCCCCCCCCCGATATGTCCCCCCCCCCCCCCCCCGCTCCGGTGTGTGAACCAGTGATCTAAAATAAATAAACAAGATCGATTAGAAAATATGTGTATGAATTAAATTGTCCATAAGAAACTTCAGATGCTAATATTAATTTATAGCGATATATTATATTATTTGCACAAAATATATTTTTATTTAACTTTAAAAGTGTTATTTATATTTAAAATATTAAAATTATTTGTTTTACAATTT